TGTGCCGTTAAAACAGCTTCCAGTTGCTTCACTTTTTCACCACGTTGGTTTCCAGTTAACTTGTCGTAGTTGGCATGTTTCGTCTGGTAGTGCCTCTTGATATTGAATTCCTTGAAAACAGCCACAGACTCTTGGGAAATTAGGCAGACACAGTTGTTTCGGATTTTGGTGAAAAAATACTCCAATTTCCACTTGTCCTGGAAGCAGCGGCCCTCACAGTCAACTTTACGTTTTTTGGTTACAGTCGCCATGTCAGAAATGGGCTGGGCTAAAACGGTCACGCAAGGCCAAGTGTCACGGCGGCCAGGGTGCGGCCAAAAGGCTACTGCCATCTTCTGGTGAAATGTAAAATAATTTTTTTTTGTACAAATTTATTTTATATTGTGGTCAACAGTACTGGCGGGCCGCATAGTATTGATTTTATGACAGAGGCCGCGGGCCGGTAAAAATTTGATCGCGGGCCGCATTTGGCCCCCAGGCCGGACTTTGGACATGCCTGTGCTTGGCCAACACGACCGACTCCTCCGTGCTCTGGTGGAGAGCAAACAGTGTGCATCAGCCCATATCTCTGAGTTGTCTCGTCAGGTCTCCACGCTTGCTTCCTCAGTACAAGACTCCAGGCTCCCCTCGCTGGCTGAAGTGACATCTGCATCGATAACTTGCCGGGACATTCATATGAGTGACTCAGACCCTGTCTTTGGGGACTTGGAAAGATGTCGAGGCTTCCTACTCCAATGTGGACTCATTTTACAACAGCCCCCTCAATCCTACTCAACCGACTCCGCAAAGATCAACTATGTCATTGGGCATTTTCGGGGCAGAGCGCGAGCATGGGTGGAAGCCATGAGCACGGACAATGAGCTCTTTAAGATGAACTATTCCGTCTTTGTTGCCAGACTCAGGACTGTATTTGACCACCCCAACTCTGCTGTGGACGCTTCTAATCGACTCCTGAAGCTGGTAACCGCTCTGTGGCAGACTTCTCTGTTGATTTTCAGACCCTGGCAGCAGAGGCTCGGTGGAATGACGCTGCACTACGGGCGGCTTTCACTGAAGGTCTCAGCAAGAAGTTAAAGGACGAGGTGGCGACAAAAAGTGCACATGGGGGAACAAAACCAAACGTAACCTAAACAATAAGATAACAATGGTGAGAGGCAGGTGTGGCATCCTCATTGCTCCCCAGTTCAGTGCCTGTACATTTGGGTTCACACCGGTGGATGAGAGGGTTGCCTCCCTCCGCCTTTCCTGACTATTGTTTGTGCCCATGCACCAAGCAGCAGTTCAGCGTACCCACCCTTTTTGGAGTCCTTCGAAGGTGCGTCAGCGCAGAGCGCGATGCGTATGTGGAACTGGGAGTCGCGGTTTGGAATTGAAGCGGATTTACATGGGACAGGAGATGAGAGCCAATCTCATTTTCGTTAATCAGGGATGAGAGTGGCTCGTGATGATAAAATCTGAAAATCAGCCGGGAGTCTGGGGGCCACAGGCCCGGATGGGGGCCCAGGGGGCAAAGCCCCTGGAAATTAATGGGTTTTAGAGATTTTAAAGCCTTAAAACCATTAATTTTATCAACAAAATTTTACCATTTTTGTTGAAATACCATTCCCTATTTGCTTACAAAATTGGCACTTTATACTAAACATGCTAAATACGAAGTGTATTCAATGTAGGTTGGGTTTTTTTGTGCGCTGAGAGTGAGCGACCAGTGTGCAGTTGCGCAGTTTAGAGGGAACATTGACTGTGAGACACATAGAAATGCACATTCACATTTATACAAACTAGCATTTGCATTTGTCTGCATCCCAACTTCATTGGTGTCCTGTGAAAGATTATTTTCTAAAGCTGGTAAAACACTTTCCAAAAATAAGAAACCATTTAACACTGTGGGAAAGCTATTTTTATAAGTAAAAATGAAAAACAAATTATCTTTATCGCACTTGTTGCATTTTATTTATATAGTAACACAAGCACATTCATATAATTTTCTTAAACAGCCATAGAATTCTCAACACTGTTGACCACTTGGGCTTCTAGACCACTTGATGCTGCAGAGAGCAAATGAAGTACCGTGAAGCTTTGAACCATGTGCAAACCAACTGGTTGCAAAGCTTCATTGCTTCATGAGGACCTCATCATCTACCCGAATCTCCCCCGGGATTTCTAACAGGAGTTCCGTCACTGGATTTGGCTGTAGATTGTCAGGTGCTATGGTCTTTTATTGTGTCACAAAGCGTGAAGCATGGCCTGATGTCTTTCAGTATTTAAGCTCGGGGTGCTCAGAGACATGTCAGAAGGTCAAGCTTTCTTCCATGCCTTGTCCTTCGAGCTCTGCTTAGTTGTTACTTTGTAGTTTTGCTCATAAAGGCTCTCAGTTTACCACTCTGGTGTCCTGCTTCTGGGATCAAATTCTGCTCTTCACTCTTCTTTAATATGATCATAACTCTGTGTGTTTCCCCTTTTCTTTCGGACACTCCTAGCCCTGCGTTCTTTTCCAAACCATTCCACGTTATCATATTGAGAGCGTCTTTATGACTAAAAATCCAGTTGTTTTCTCTGCGACCTCAATTTCAGTGGTACGGACCCGAGCATGTAGAATCCAGACTCTTGGTAGTACACAGAGCCAACTCAAAGCAGTTCAAGGTGGACTATCATTATTCACTTCAGTATGTTCATAAATCTATGGGCTTCCTTCACTTGTAAGGTAAAGAGCCCTTTTCATTATCCAACCCGTTCCACTTTATCGAATAGAGAACGTCCTTATTTACTTTTTGTCTCCATTACTACTGGTAGTAACAATTAGTTAGCTGCAGCCAAATGGGAGAATGTCAGAATGTGACTCGAGAAGTTCACAGAATAGTCATTTCTGATGCAGACAGTCCAAGAATGATTTGTAACTCAATATTCGGGGCGGATGGAAATTACTGACTCGCTGTGGCGACCCCTGAATAGGGACGTGCCGAAAGGAGAAGAAGAAGAAGATTCTTATGAACTTTGAAACATTTCAGGCAAGAGTGCATCATATAAGACTTGTATTTCTTGAAACATTGTATAGGAGAGTAATTCTTAGAAAGTGGAGAGCCAAAAGATAAAACTAAATTAGCCTATCCAAGATGAGTAATATTTCTCTTCAACCAACAAAGTACATGTAAAATGTATTCTCTCCTGAGTTCAAACATATTTTGGAGAGTTATTGTGCTGCGAGCCAAAGTCATCTGATTTGCCAATATGCAGACAATCATGAGTAATCAACCGATTTGCCACCCTTAAAAACCAGTGTCATTCTTTGATGCCTCCCGCCACCAAGTAGCTGGCGATTGCAGCTGCTAATTTGATTTTGATTATTAACTGATACGAAGTCAAATTTTCTCTGTCAGTTTTTTGTTGTTTCTTGAAAATGATGGGCTTGGCTTACTTATTACAGATTGCACATATCTTCGGGGGCTAACCCCACTCTGTCCATAAAACCTCGTGATGCCCCTGATGACAACCATGAAATGTGTTAAAGAAAATAGTCATTCCATTTTTTTACGATGAAAACCTGAAAAGGAAGCAGCATACTGAACCAGCCTGAATGTGACCTCTTCTTGTTGGTTGGCGCTGAACGCATCAACTTTTAGCATTTCTTTTATTGTGAAGCTTTATGGTTAAGGACAATGATGATATGAATGTAAATAAAAGACAGTTCTACTTCCATTAAGTCTCATTTTTGTGTATTATGAAATGTGTTTATTTCAAGAGTGTGACACACATTCAAGACAAATCAGTTGCAGTACTCTACAACAGGGGCCCCCAACCTTTTTTGCCCCACGGACCGGTTTATGTCAGAAAACATTTTCAGGGACCGGCATTTAAGGTGTGGCGGAAATAATACAACAAAATAATATGGTATGAGCTGCATGAAAACTGTGGCGTTTTCGAAATATAATAATAAACACAAGGAGCGCCTAATCTGGCCGCAACACTCCGATCGCTATGGCAATGTTTAATGCCTTACAAAATACGATACAACGCAAATTCAAAGTGATGAAAATGACGACTCACCACAGCACCGAGCTTGATTTTCTGCAACCAGACGGTCCCATCTCGGGGTAATAGGAGACAATGACACCTCAAGTGTGTGGTTTATGTCCAGTCTACTTCGTAATTTTGTTTTCGT